AATTAGAGAAGGCAAACACATTGCTAAATATCATAAAATTACAATCTTTGGCGAAAGAAGTTGTACAGCGTTTTTGTATGTTTTATTATAGTTAAATGGAAGTATTTGGAGTTTTCAAATTAATATTCGTCATTGGTCACAAAGAAAGTACTGCTTGTTTTTATATAATAGATGAAATATAGCCAGTTGTGGTGGCCAGCTCTCATGTTTCGTCATGTCTTAGATTCTTCTGCTGGATTCCGCAATTATCGGCCGTGTACAGACCAAATCGCGACGTGATGGATCATTGCTGAACAATCAACTGAATAGAATTCGTAACCATGTATCAACTTTGTTTATTATGAGTGTTTAACAGAGTGGATAGGAGGACCTTCTTCAACATTATGGTGTACCAGAGATCGTCAACATCGTACGGAATTCATATAACGGACTACACTGCAAAGAGGAGGACCAAGGAACAATTTGCGTCGGGAACGAGAAGCAGACATCAAAAGAATGAATAGCAACTGGAAAGGATTTCCTAGGACAGAGTTCTTTGAATAATTTTGATGAGCATCCCATGCTCCTCCACGAGGGATAACAAGCATAAGTAAGCTGGATATACGTACTCAGAATTGATGTGCACCAATTTTAAATGGGACAAAATAAGTGTCCTGAATTACACTGATAGCAACTTTCCATCTATTATGCACAAACTTGTGATATAATGTCTATTTTGAGACAATCTACATATAATGCACATATGGCAACTGAGATCGATCAAAGTTTAGTCAGAAATATCAGCAACGGATGAATCCCAAAACCACTACAAATTGAATTAAAGTACTAACTCATTTTCAGTGGTTATTTAACTAAGGTCAGTCATTTATGTTAACTATAAAATCCAATCTTCGTAAACCTATTACAGTAATTAAAAATCATGTGTTCACTAGTGGTTAATTTCTTGAAGTGATTTCGGAGTTCTAATTAGACTGATCAGTTGATTCCTACCATACCAAATATGATACAGCTACCTAATAAGACCATTGAAACATAAGTAGCGCAATACCGTGTAGTGATTGCAGTTATCATGCAAATCCTTGGTTTCCGGATAAGTCATCCAAAGGACAAAAGTCTGCACGCACAAACGAAGATCCTGAGTTCAGTCCTCAGTGGCAGAGTTGTGGTGCGCACTTCTGAGGAGTTTCATATCAAGACAAGACAGTTGCCGAAAGCTTATTGATTCTAATGGCTGTTTCATCGAGATTAGTTCATAACGTTAACTACGAATATAAAGAATCATCTCACATATGCATCCGGTGAAATAACAATACAGGGAAGAGCCAAACATGATGGAGATAAAGCCTGTCGCGTTTTTGTGCGAACTTCAGAAAGTCATCAGTACTGGAGCTCAAGTTATGAAGTACTTGGTTAAGCAAAAGCCTGCAAAGAACTACACGTAAAGTCCGTCTTATATGATGAAGATACTGTCCTTAAAATAAGTTAGTTAAAATTAGTTCTTATTCTATCTAGTCAAATTAAACTAACAACTGAACCACACGTCATTACGAGTGCATTCAGTAATAGCCCGTTTTTTGTTACACAGCTCTGCCATCGTAATTTCATAGATATTACGATAATTGTAAGAAATCTTCTATTGCTTCCCCCCAAATGCCCTGGTACAGACGAGAATAGAGAGAATGAGCTCTCCTTCTCCAAATGCTCACATATGACCACGTGCATACAACCACTGACACAGAAGTCCTACTCACTGTCTTCCCGCGAATGGGGTGTTTTTTTACTAAATTGAGAGGACGAAAAGCGAATGTCCGGCACTATAACTGGGTTAGTGGACACGGCAAGTTCACCTAGGAAAGTTGGAAAACCCTCATTCCAAACCAATGGTGCACATGAGCTGGCCCCAGTATCCTGAGAGAACAAATGGCGTATGAACCAATTGTTGGTCACCGGCTACCATGAGACTGCAACTCCTAACGTTGCTCCACTGTTTTATGGATCAGACCTTTATGTCAAACGCTATGTGTGTGGTCCCCTAAGAAAACTACCTGCTTTGGGCACCCGAGCAGTATCACAGCCCTCACACAAATCAAATGAGATTTGTGTGGCACATATGTATTCGGTGCTTCCTTGTACCAATATCTATGTGTTCAAATAAATAAACTTCTATTGCTTAAACCTAAATTTTTCATTCTAATAAAGTTGATTTTACTGTAACAAAAACTGTTTGCTTAAACACAGGGAAACCTTCGTGGAAACTGACGAACCATGTAAAATTATAATGAACTTCTTAGTAATCAGTTTTTTTATTATTTTTAATATGCCTTTATTCATTTACTAATAAGGAGTATACAAATGTGAAGTTCATCACTGAAGTGTGTCAATATCACAGTGGCGGGGTAATCAAACTGACCTAATTTACAAATGTAAAAAAACAAATAATTTTCGTGACACTAGTCACAATTTGTTATTTCAATGAAAATTACTAAGATTTAGTAGACTGTTACAAGAGCTCAATAGCCAGGTCCTTAACATATTAGCTTTACATTTTTCTACTACTTACAAGTAGTATTCATTATGTAGCTTAAATGTGGTGCTAGATACGATCGGTTAGTGAATAGTATCTCTACATAGAGTGAAAAATGGTTAGATGTGCTGATGAATGTAGAGCTCAACAGAAAATTTAAGCTATTTTTTTCTATAATCTGAGAAAATAATGACCCAAGTGACAAGAATCTGGTGAGAATTGATTGAAATCTCTTTAATGAGTTATGATAGCAGTAAAACAACATGATACTCATTTGATTATTACTGATACGTGTAGAAAACCACGTACATCAGAAATGACTGAGGATGTAAATGTGCAAACTGAGGAATTTCTAATGTCAGAGAAACTTTTGGAAACACCGCAATCAGGTCAGTCTGCAATCGACAGATACATCGATAAAGATCCAATTTATCAATCTACACAGAAAAGATCAGTTTATATATATATTTGAAAGTATGAACGGTGAGAATTCCTACTGGCCTGAACATATTTATTAGCACTGAAACTCTTCGTACCCGTTACCAATAAATTCGGCCCATGTACCATTAGCCGCATCTTTGTGTGATGTTCCACATTTCCGTACTTTTATAGTATGTGCAGACAGTTTCTGTCCATTAAATTTGCGAAACCATGAGCTTACTTGTATGTTAAAATACAATATATTGGTGATTGGTTACAAATCAAATGATAGATATTACTAACAATCAGGATCATCTATGTACGCTAGTTGATTGACGAGCATCACCCATGCATTTTTCCCCTTCAAATCTTTATGACCACCAATTTGAGTTACGCAGAGAACTTCTGTCATAGGTAACCAAAACTATAAGTGACTCCCACTAGATCTCCACATAATGAAGACACAAAGCACACAACTATGAAAAGAGGATCTAACTGCAAATAGCTTCAAAATCAACTGTATCATTTAGAAATCCCAAACTGAATAAAAGCGAATAAAGAAGACCCAATAATCTTAATGTTTGCAATTTGATTGAAAGCCTGAACGAATTCAGGTTAAACCATCATTGGAAACCTGGAAGCATTAAACGGCCATTTCGTCCCATGACTGGACTCATCAGTAGTACACATCAACGACTTTGCAACCGAGAATTGAATCTAAGACCTTTGTTCTAGCGCGTGAATGTTAATGTCTAACTTTAATCAATCTACTTATAATTTGTAACTTGTTACACATAGTAAATTATCATCTATTTGAATGTTATCCGAATTGATAATAGATTCCTCCAATAGGTTATAAAAAAGCTTCAATGATCGCTAGACAGAAACATTAGTCGAAAAGTAGATTTTCCTGACTAAGTTCAGCAGAGCAAAATTCTTATATCGTAAACACTAAAGCGTGAATAGAATACATGAACTATTTTAAATATTTCGATAATTAGGAAATATTTTACCGAATATTCAAAATTATCCGATCCCATATACCCTTGTGGTTTAGAAATATAATTCATCGTATCTGTGATTAGATACTTCTAGTTTAGGTTAAGCGAGGAAACTGTCCAACTGTAACTTGTAAGTCCTCAAGATATACTACCTCTGAGATACATAGACACATTCATCGCAAACCAGTTACAGTAATGGTATTGTGTTTTCGGTTCTCTGGATTATGATGCACAGTTAAACTACATGTAAAATACGCGTTAAGTTCCGATGCAAGCTAAATCAATGATAAGAATAACTCTGTGAAAAACAGAAATGATAAGATTGAGTAGAAAAAAGGAAGTTAGTGGTAAAGAGTTGTAATATCCTTGAAAGTAAACTGTGTATTTATGTGGAAATCAACGAAATGAGTGAGTCGGTTATAAGCAAAGTAGAGAACGTGAGACATATTTACATCCGTTGAATTCGCCACACTACATCACAGATGAGATAATGAGGACATATGTCAGAGTAGAAGTAATAGTAATATCTGTGATAGTAAAAACGATGCACAAAAAATATGGTTTGAAATTAAAGAATTTAATGTACCTCCAGTGCAACTTTTGCAGCTAAACCTTAAGAGGAAGATCGATTTCTCAATAGGGAGAGGTGATAGGGTCTGATAACTTGGTGAGCTTCTGTACACTTTGAATAAGTTTAACCAACACAGTTTGGTACTTATTTCTTGTCTTCTTACTTGAGTAACATGTTGGGTTCATATGAAAGAAAGATACATATAAGCATCAGAATCGCATAACCGCCAAATATAACACGATATCCCGACAAAATAAAAAGTGTGACATATCTTTGAAACTCAGGATCTAATGGGGGAGATAATGAATGAGTGCATTTCCGTTGTTAATACCGCTTCTGAATCATGTCATTTAACATCTGTAACTATTGTTATGATAATCCCTCGAGCCTTAACCAGATAGTCTACACCTAACCACCATGGCTCAAATCAACAGTCAATAACTTCATGGATTAGTACCATAGGATGATAACATTAAAAAGGATGTAGTAAATATAATGCTTGTATACCAAATCCGAATCATAATATGTATTCAATGTTGTATCGAATGATTTTTCATACTTCACAAGTATTTCATTAAAAAGGATGGTCTAATTTTTATTATGTTGAACAAAGATAATGACAAAAATGTATGATCAATTTAATTACAAGAAAAAGAGATATAACTCAGTGATGTTATATCATAGCATGGCGTTCTCATACGAATAACCACTTGCTCAATACATTAGATGATGATTGAATATGTATATATAAAAAAAAACGGTGGAAGAATGAATATACGAATAAGTAAAATCACAGTTATTTAAAAAAACATTTGCAGTTGATTTCTTTGCATTTTAAAGCAGGATTGATTGGTTTCTTGTCGATTGTATTTGATCCTAGATTATCTGAATGTATTTCCCAACGTTCTTGTGAATTTCCCTCTAATGTTAACAAGGACATGTTAATGATGAGCTGGGTTGAGTAGATTCAAAGGATACTCCTTGAGGTGGTTGTGACGTTGATGACAGGAATTCAGGATCTTGAAGTATCTAGGATTTTAGATTATTCAAATGTGATAGAAATGTATAGAAATTAACAAACAAACAAAAATTTTATTTTAAACTCACATTAAATTCATAACATTGAGGAACGTTTTAGTCATATACACTAATGAAGTTATAATATTTGTGGTGACTGAGGCTAATAAAGAAATGTCTAGCAATCAATTGGAGTCGGGGTGTATCGCTAACAAGAATATAAACATTTCAAGACTGTAATTATCTATAGACAAAACAGATTCTTAATGAATTACATTGGGATATTTAAAACCAAAATAAACACGAAGAACAATCAAAGTAAAGCCTGAAATGAATGTGTATCGTCCCAGTTTACCACATATCATACATCATCGTCACCACAAACATCATTACAATAGAAATAATCGTATACATTGTACAGAAAGGCTAAACACAAGAGATATAGTGTACAAAAGAAACGAATAAAACTATGACAACACATCATGCTCAAGAATTACATATAAATGAAAAATGAATGCTACTGTGTAACTTTGTTACCCAACGTTTCAAACCATATATCATAATCAGCAAGCTTATAGCTGCAAATACAGCTTAGGCCGACGAGCGCCCTCAAATGCCCTGGTACAGACGACAATGGGGAGAATCAGCTCTCCTTTTGTGAATGCTCTCATATGGCCACGTGCATACAACCATTGACACAGAAGTCCTAATCACTACCTTCTCGAATCAAACGTGTTGTTTAAGAAGTTGAAAGGAGGAAAAGCGAATGTCTGGCACTATAACTGGGTTAGTGGACACGGCAAGTTCAACTAGGAAAGTTGGAAAACCCTCATTCCAAACCAATGGTGCACATGAGCTGGGCCCAGTATCCTGAGAGAACAAATGGCGTATAAACCAATTGTTGGTCACCGGCTACCATGAGACTGCATCTCCTAACGTTGCTCCACTGTTTTATGGATCAGACCTTTATGTCAAAGGCTCTGTGTGTGGTCTCCTAAGAAAACCACCTGGTTCGGTTTGGGCACCGGAGGAGAACCCCAGCTCTCACACAAATCGAATGATTTATGTGGCGCATATCTAGTTGGTGCTTCCTTGTGCCAATGTTTATTTGTTTAAATAAATAAATAAGACCAACGAGCAATGAAATCATGGCCTGATATCATATTTTCAAATTGGTCACATCGAGTTTTGATACACTACTATGCCAGACATGTGTGAAACAGTCTATCTGAAATGTTTTGTTTAACCTTAGAATTGGTCATTTAGTGGTTCAAGTATACACGAAAACATCAGTGACTAAATGCATATATTCTAATCTAACAGACCATAATTCATACAAACTTTGCCACAAGTGTCTCAAGTCGTCAAAAGGGGAGAACTTTTTATTTTAATCCCCGACCACCCACAAACGCTAATGAAATTTTTAAGGTAAGTAGAGCAATCAACACGCTCGACCACTCCACTTTCTGTTTCGAGTCACACTAAAGTTTCTAACCCCTTTCGCTTTACTGCCAAACGTGTTTTGAAGGATAACGATTATTTTAGTGTCTTCACCAAATGAACTACGTCGTCTGCGTGATCGCAAACAGTGAAAGTCGATTTGAATTTTCAAGAAACTAATGCACTTTCTGGTACACTTTTTAATAACAAACACTGGCATCAAACCTGTGAACAAACAAAGTGAAATGCCGTTTTCAAGTCAAGAACGACGATTGTGGTTAGGCATCGTGTTATAACTTGTCGTTTGAATGCTTATTGTCTTGGCTCTTTTGATGCTACTTTTTGTATCTGGTCATCGCTGATTGTTATGTCGGGAACGCTTATCACTTACACTCGGAACGAAGGACCTTTGCGATTCCCACGACGCGATAGTAAGAACACAAAGACTGGTATAAGTGAAGATTAATTAACCTCAAAACACGATGATGACGACGACCTTAGTCGAAAAACACACTCATTTATATATTGCTGTACACACACTGATTAATAATTAGGATGAAATCACATATATGAGAATTACTTAGAGTTATAACAAATCATATGCTGAGTATAGTTCATGTCAATGGAATACAAAAATACCGCATATTATACAGAATAAAATATCATACGAGATAATAAAACAACTACTACATTGAGTAATCATTACATTGAATCAAAACGGAAGTAATGTTGAACAAAACTGATAATGAGTAAATCAATCGAAAATTGACTTTTCTTTACATTATATCACATTGATAAGCATGTTCAAAAATCTGTTGAAGGATGAGTATATATTCTGCACTACTTATTTATTATTTATTTTAACACATAGATATTGGTACAAGGAGGCATCAAATACATATGCGCCACGTAAATCTCATTCGATATGTGTGACGGCTGTGATACTGCTCGGGTGCTCAAATCGAAGCAGGTGATTTTCATAGGGGGCCACTCCCTGAGCCTTCGACCTGAAGGTCTGATCCATAAGGCAGTGGAGCAACGTAAGGAGATGCAGTCCCATGGAAGCCGGTGACCAACAATTGCTTCATACGCCATTTGTTTCCGCAGGATACTAAAGCCCATGTGCACCATTGATTTGGTTTGGGATCCGGTTAAAGCGCCGGACATTCGCTTTTCGTCCTCTCATTTTCGTAAACAGCACCTATGGTGCGAGAAGGCAGTGAGTAGGGCTTCCCTGGCAGAGGCTATATACGCGTGGCCATGTGAGAGCATTTCGAGAGGGAGAGCGAACTCTCCCCACCCTCGGCCGTACCAGGGCATTTGGGGGCTTCACGGTTATATAATATGCCCTTGTGGGCCAGGGTAATTTTACATTGGTTTTCAGGAGAACCAGACACCATCCAAACTTTCACGTAAAAACCCAAACAGTACAGCTCAACTCCGTTTAGCAGGGGAACCAGACACTGTATAGGCTTTAACGCTACAATCTGAATAGTACAGCTCAATCCTGTGGCGCAACCATACAGGTACCAAGCACCCTGGTGGACCAAACCCAGGTCTGAAACAGGACTTTTTTATTTAGCTTGCTTTCACCAACCTTTATTTATGCACCAGATGATTTTGAAAATTGATATTTTATGAATTATCAATAAACAGTTATCATAGGGTTGCCATCTTTTCGTATAAACCAAAATGACTAGATATCTAGGCCAACTAAGGGGAAGCGGTTTGAACTCCTAGACATAGTAATCAATCTGACCAGTATTGTTAAACGCCTCTGGAATTAATCCGTCAGTATTCTTTTGTGGCTTGTTTCAAATTAATTATAATCCTTACAACTCCAGTTGGAATACATTGGAGCAAATTAGTGAGAACGTGATCTGGCAAGTAAGAATTAAGCTTGTCAGTCAGGTCTTAGTCTTATTGATGTAAATGATCTATAATAATTTGTGTAATGTAACTTCTAATCACGAGGTAACATTTTTATTATGAAAAACCAACTCTATTAACCAATTGTATCACCTTTGATAACAGTTCAAATGAGAATGAGTCAATAAGAATTCAATTTCATGTACACTTGTCAGTTGACTATGATGAATTATTTTGAATTACCTATAGGTCAACATTCCATTTTTCCACTTAACAACCAAAATGTATACATAATGAATCCAAAAAATTTATTGTCAACACATTAATAGTGGAAGACCTTAAAAGAATCAAGTGAAACCGGAATGTGTATTATTCATTCGAACACATAAATATTGGTACAAAGGGGCACCAAATACATATGCACCACACAAATCACTTGATTTGTGTGTGGGTTGTGATACTGCCTGGGTGCCCAAACCGAAGCAGGAGGTTCTCCTAAGGGGCCACACACAAATGTCCCAAAACATATAAAGAGATTAATTACGCAACAACTAGTTAGTTTTAACCAGTTGAATTTCTGATGAAATACGATAAATCACAAACCAACCGAAAATTTAGTATAATAATTGCTAAATACACCGACCAATCAATCGTTTCAAATAATCATTATCTCACAGGTTGAAATCATGAGTCGATTGAAGCTAGACCACCATGGAAAACCTGGAAGCACTGGACGGCCGTTTCGTCCTAGTATGGATGCCGGCATCCAATGGTCTAGTGGTCAAGTGCTCGCGCGCGAAGCCAGTAGGTCCTGGGTTCGAGCCCCGCGTGGTGCGGGATCGTGGATGCGCACTGCTGAGGAGTCCCATACTAGGACGAAACGGCCGTCCAGTGCTTCCAGGTTTTCCATGGTGGTCTAGCTTCATCTGACTCATGATTTCAACCTGTGAAATTTCTAAAACTCTCCACAAAACCCATTCTGATAATCATTATCTATATACATAATAATGGGTACAAAAATAAGACTTACTTTACGAACAAGTTCTACAAAAGCATCACGGACATTCTCACTTGTTTTTGCACTGGTTTCAACAAAGATTGACCCCATACTTCGAGCGAAATCTGAACCTTCTTTTTTTGAAACTATGCGATTATCCTATGGATAGAATATCTCTAAAGATAATTTCAACAAACTAACCAAGTCAATTTTATTGCCAACAAGCATTTTTAAAAGTCGACTACCACAGAATTGTCTGGTTTGTTCTACCCAGTATTTCACTCCGGAAAGACTTTGTGCGGAAGTAACATCGTATACTAAAAATGATGAGGAGAATAAAACTATAGGCTTGTTTTTACCAAAAAGAGCACCATGAGCGTGGCGGTAAAGCGAAGGAGTCAAGTAACTACTGTATCGTTCAACACCAGCTGTATCCTAATAACATGAAAATAAGTGTTCTACAATGTTTATGACATGACGTTTACCCATATATTAAACTGAATTGTTCTTCCGTCTACAACCATTTGATATGGTTTGAAATCGAAACCGATCGTCGCCGCTTCATTGTGTGTAAATCGGTCATCAACAAATCGACGAATTAAACTATATAAAAGAAAGCAGTTTGCAGAAGGTAAATGATATATATAGAAGAACATACCTTGTCTTCCCCACACCTGAATCTCCTAACAGGATTAATTTAATTTTTATCGATTCTTCACCGGCCATATTTTAAATATCTAAAGGAGTAATAATATTAAATGATAGTATTTGGACTGTTAACCATAATAGAATTCGTCTACGTAAAATGTAACATGGTTGCAGAGGACTTTCATTAACTTCCAAGGAACATTAGTTTATTCCAGTAAATAAGAAAACCAAATAATTCTAAGTTATGAGTTCCCTTTACACATGAAAGTTGTTTAATTTTTGTAAAGTAACACAAAGCTGAATTTTATGCAGTGTAGTTGTTATTTTAATACGCTGGTGGACATCCGGTTTCGATTGAGAATAACAGGTTGGAGGAGTGAAGCTAGGATCTCGTGCTAGTGTGAGGACTTTTTGATTTACAAACGCACCGAGGTAGATTCGTTGATTAATAAACCTATTGAATAACTTAACCCACTAGTGTCCTAATAACTGTTGACACAACAGTTCACAGAATAGCTGAAAAATATTTGTCCCTAAATTTATAAAAACTCCTCTCTAAATTTGATCAAGTAGTTTCACAGTATTTGAGCACCAGGTTGGTGTGAGACGTTAATGAAGAAGAAAGTATTTGTAAAATCTCAGAGAATGAATTGGTAAATCCAACGTTTCACCTCGTAATCTGGTCCAACGTTTTTCAAGCAATTATAATCAAACATCAAAATTATCAAATATAAAAATAGGTATATGGTCCTCTGGTTAACTATATACTAAATAGGTCATCTAATTAACGTTAACAGTTCTTAAAGTAGGTATTTGCTCTAGTGTGTGAGAGACATGTGATGTGAAACGGTGTTAAGATAACAGATTGAATGTATGCGTAAGTGGTATGAGAAGGAATCTCATTCACTATATATTGTCTCTGATCGGTGGATTTTTAAGAAAACTACTATTTTTACACGTGATATGAATCAAACATGTCACAGCATGCAAAAAATGAAGAGAAATAAAGGAATGAATGTTTGTATAACTTTTATTGTTCCAGTTAATTGTTTAGCATATTTAGATAAGACAACTGATTAGAAGCGTTGAACGTAATTGTTGTTATTCAGATAATAAGTATGGTCTAAAATTACTTAAAACATGAGTGATTTTTAGACACTGATTTTGTAGGTTATTCACGGAACTACGAAATCGAAGTCTGATTATCAGGCTTAGTGTCCACCATATTATTTAGCAAACAGATCTGTTTAATCAGTTCACTGAAAGTTGATGAGCATTCAGACATGGATTTTGGCAACCAAAATCATATTGATCCCAGCAGCTAATGCCCAAAATTTCACAGTATATTCTCATATGACAGCAAGGAGTAAGTATCACATATGTAATCTTCAGTCAGCTTGTAGGTACTGTACACCCCATAAGAATGAGTGTGCAATCTTGTATAACATCACTGAGCTCCAGTCAAACCTTTGATTTATTAAATACTTCTATACAAGATTTCAGATATGACTGTTATTGACCCACAGTCTACTGATGTGATAATTGGTCAATTGCAAAGTTGCATACGTGTGTAAAACCCTGTGTTGATAACTGACTGACATTCATAGGTTTAAACGCATTTCCTTACCCTTTTATTTTTACTAACATGATATCAGTGTCAATGCTTTACCCACCCTTAATGTGAATGGTGTTAAGTAATGGGTAACTGGGTGCTATGGGAATATATCGGAAAGATCTTAGAATGCTGATGAGGAAGACTAGAAAAATATTAGTGCCTCAGAATGAACGAACCAGCTGCCCAAAAATATATTAGGAGGACTTGTTGTTTTCTCGCTCAGTATCCTTCTAAGTTGAGTGTGACATATTGGTCAATTCAGGTTATCAAATCACGGAGAACATATCTGATGGTATTTGTGGTTCTCTATGATAGTCATGGGATGGTAACTTTCAAGAGGAAACAGTGAAAACAACAGTACTTTGCTGCATCTTTAGCTTGTTCACCCTGAATTGCATGATACACTAATGAAGCCATAGCTAATCCAGAAGACAGCTTCAGTAAGGAATAAGCGACTGTATACCGTTGGTTGAAAACGAACCAGATTCGCGGAATAGTCTTCTGTTACACTCAATAGTAAACTAGAGTTCATATTATTATCAATTTCCATAGCTTCCAGTTTACATTCATTCTTTTTTGTCTGTCTGATACGGAGTTTGAGATTGTAACCACTTACTTCATAACTTAGTGAGCTCTTCTAAGGATAACAGAGTAAACATAAAGTTCGTATATATAGAAGGTTCTGACCTCTGTCGTTTACACTTGGTTTAAATGTTTAACATTTCAATACTAAAATCTAGAGTAGAACTGCTTATTACAGCCAGAGGGGCATATGGAAAAAATAGATTAAAAAATTAAGTGAGTGGACGAGGTTCCTTGAGACACCTAATTAGTATGATAATAAACCTTATTTGGTTAATAAGTTTGCAAATTTGAATTAGAAACGTTTTACTTTTGCGACGGTAGAAGTTTAGTACAAGTAATGTCCTTTGATGAGGAAAGCCTTAAACTCTAGCAAATTGTAATTTCTGTTTTGGTAAACGGAGAAAGATTTCGTTTGGATGTTATCTGTGACAAAGTTTTTATTAAGGATGAAGGTTTTCAACACTGACTTACATTAGGTATGACACAAAAAAGCTAGGGTTAAGGATTTGGAGTTCGGCTGATTTTGAGTTAATGTTGGGATTAGGGATTAAAGTTACAGTTTTCATAACGAACTGAAACTAACTATAGCGCAGTGATGTTTTACGCTTTCAGATTATAAAATTACGGCAGCTAGTGCTGAAAATTAGAGACAGAAGATAGAATAGGAGAATGCCTCTTGGCTTTACACACATTTGAGGCTATGAAATGAATCACACAAGGCACTCCCATGGACAACCTATACCATTTGTACGCATTTCGCGTAATTAGGCTAAGGCACCATGTCGCATTTATATGTGACTGGGTGGAAGGTATATTTATGGATTATTCTTGAAACCAGTTATAAAAATTTACACTCCGTTTATAACAAGAAGTACGGTATTTCTTAATGAGAAGCCAACGTTTGGTTTTAATTGACTACAATTTTGCCAAGTTTTCCAAGACTCTTTGAAGGTAATAAAAAGCAAAAAAGGCTCATTGGAACCAAAACTTTTACCAATCTCTACCAAGCATTATTCGGTGCTAACTGCCTGGGAGCCGAAAGATAGTGGAAGTAATCACAACAAGTTCAAAAGATGGGGCCTAGGAATAACCTTGAGATCTAAATAGTTCAAATGGTCCAAATTGTTGTGGACGGAATTGAAGAAGCTGTCGCTTAACGGGCTTCCGTGTCTAGTAATAGTGGATCACCTAAACCTCCAGGCAGGGACGTCGGTATATTAATGATAATAGAAGTAAAAGAAATTGATAAATCATGCTAAGATATTATCCCTAGTCCTTAAGAATGGGTCAAGTTTCCTCTTGAAGGACTCCTGGGAAGTCACTTGGATTAGCTCAGCCGGCAGCGAATTCCAGCATTTGACAATCCTTAGGGACTAGAAGTTGTGTCTACAGTCCGTTCTGCTGTATTGTGTCTCCAGTTTTTGGATGTTCCTCCTTAGGTTTGTTGTGTTGGAGCTAAATCTAAGTAGATATTTAAGGGGACGTCCAGAAGCATTAAGGATACTGCAAGCTATAAGGTCACCTCTAAGACGCCTGTACTCTAGTGGGTAAGGGTTTAGTGATTAGAGGTGCTTTTCGTAAGGCTTGAATTTGGGTCCCCGAACTGATTTTGTGGCTCGCCACTGGATACGTTCCAGAGTGTTCTTATCCTTCTGGAGTGAGGGAGGAAATACTATGTTTTCGTACTCTAAGTGGGGACGAATGAAACTGTTGAAGATTATGTGGAAAGTTTTTCCGTCAAACTGGTCAAAAATGCGCTTCAATTTTACCAGTGCGAGGCTTGCTCAGAAGGCATTTTTGTCACAGTTATCATCAGACTTCGAATCGTAGGACACCAGCACTCCTCAACCTTTTTCAACTCGGGATACTTCTAGAGAGGGGTTTCCCAAGTTGTAACTGTAGTCTGCGACATGTCTCGGATGGACTACTTTACACTTTGAAGTGTTAAAGGTAAGTCCGTTCTCGTCTGTCCAACTTTGAAGTCGAGTCAGATCCTCCCGAAGTGCCTGTATATCATCTTGAGTATCTCTCTCGAAAGTTTCACATCATCAGTAAAAAGTGATAAGTCAGACGATACCTGTTGTGGAAGATCGTTTATACAAATCAAGAAAAGAAGAGGTCCCATTACTGAACCCTGGGGGACCACACCAGGACATTCCATTGTCTGAGAGAAAGTGAGGCTAACCCTGACCTTAAAATGTCGATTTTTTATATATGAAGTCAGCCAGTAATTAGAGGTGATTTGATATCCAAACGTCTGAGCTTATTGATAAGACATATATGGTTGACACTATCATAAGCTTTTGAGAAATCAAGGTTAATGACGTCAACCTTCTACTTACGATCACAGATGCTTGTTCATCTGTTCACCGCGGTCAGCAGATGGGCTACACAAGAGTGACTCTTCCTGAAACAATGCTGTTGTGGTGAAATGGAGTTTAAGGATAAGAAATAGTCGTGTATACCGCCACTTATCAGTGACTTCATGGTTCTTGAAGGTATAGAGAGAAGAGCCATCGGTCAGTAGCTTGAAGGTTCGCTGAGTCGACCTCCTTTGAAAATTGGTGTGATGTGAGCCAGCCTCCAAATATCCGGTAGTTTGTCTCGGCTTAGCGAGTGTGAGAACATCACGCTAAGCGACGTTGTCAGCATTGGAGCTGCTTTCTTTAGTATAGCAGAATGAACCATATTCAGACCAGGAGAAGCGTCTTTTCTTAGGTGTCTCAGTTTTCGGTACACCAGGTCAGCGTTCAGGTTCACTTCGAAAAGTCCTGTGCAGTTGCAGATGAAACTGTCATCAATATATTTGTTGTGGGTCTGTTGAAATGTTCGAGAGCACTGTTCAGCCAGATAGCGGCGTCACTGTGGTTATTTGTCGAACAATTAGAACCCAGCAGTTGCGAAACTCCAGTTTCGGCTTGACAAAGAGACGCTGTATAACGGAATAAGCTTTCCGGATCGGAGACAAATTTATCGATAAGCTTTGTCTGGTACTGCAGTCTGTCGTCTCATTGTTTTTGTGTATATGTTATTTATATGTATGTATTGCCTGTACGTGCCGTTGTTATAAGTCCGTTTGTGTTCCGCACAAAAGTGCCTTTTGCATCTTAGGTTGCTTGTAGGTTTTGGGGATAATTTGCCTTGTAGCACATAAGATCGTGTGCAGTATGAAATCCCAATGAGGATCCTTTCAAGTTCAGGGTGAATTCCCAAATCCTTATGTTGTAGATTTGAAGAACTATGGTCTACTATGATATCACTACTGCTCTAATAATAGACCTAATCCTCAAATTGTAGACTTGTCATGATGTAACTGCCTAACCTATAAGATCTTACGTGAAAGTCACATCATTGTCTACACTGACTCACCTTATCGTAACAATTACTAATTTATGATGGGGAACACATTCAGGCCGGAGATATAACAGCATATTTAATATGAGTAACAGCAAGTTGTACAGAGCGACCATGTCTGCGAGGGTGGGCCATGTTTTCCGATCAATTTGAACTAATTCAGTTCATTGTTCCAGCCTTCTCCATCGTTGAGCTTTTCTCCCAGTTAAATGTTGAATATGTATCTTCACAGTTGTCTCGTGTTCAGCTTTAAGGATTTTGTGGTTGGAGTCCAGTGTCACTACTAATACATCGAGAAGCATTTCGCCTAAGCTGGCTAGAAGTTGTAAGAGATGTGTGGTACGGCGTACCCATTCGTGATCTGGTGTGGATGCGTGACCGAGCACCTTCAGCTAGAATGTGTCCAGTAAAATTAATGGAGTCGGCATCAGTTAGGAAGATCTATAGAACTAGTTATTTACCGCTACAGGAATACCGAGGGACGAAGGTGAGAATGGAGACAAGAATAAATCAATAATGCATATTAGTGATATCGGGCACAGCTATTTCAAGAGGTAGACGGTTATCCACGAATGAACATTCGTTTGTCGAGTCGTCCAAGGTATTCGCGTCTCTTTTGAAGGAGTGGCCGGAAAACCATTCCGAACTTTAAAGTGAGGCCACGAGTATATTCTCGGTAAAATTTAGAGAGGGTTTTAAGGTGATTGCGTCACGTTGTTCTCACATAAAGTGGGTGGTCGTATTTGCTATGATTACAACCCCGATATAATTTGAAGTGGTGCTCAAGCTCTCTGTGGTTCTTAGCACGAAATCGAGGTCTAAGTGGAAAATCATGTGGACTTTCATGGAGTATTCATCCTGGTTGTGTTCCATAGAAATGAATTTCCATGACATAACATCCTGGTAGTTGAAGCTCCAACTCATCGTTTCTGGCCTCCCCTCAATTGTCTCAAGGATAATTTGATGCCAAAGTGGGTCCTTTTGCTTTCATAGGCTTTTAGATCTTAGTGTCGCTTGCAAAGATTAGTGGTGACCTTATCTAACGGGTTGTTAATAAAGATTGGGGACAGAAGTCGTCCTGAGATTGCTCCTTGTGAGATTTCAAATGTTAAAGCATAAAAGCTTGCGTGCGCCATACTTACATTCGTACGAATTATCCTGTTCTCAAAGTAGTTTCGGAGTCAAGATAGAAGTCGAGATGGGAAACTTATATTTTCAACCTTCTCTATGATAAGTAAGTGTGGTAAGGTTCCGAAGGCTTGACCTATTCTTAAGGACTAAGAACAACGTCTTATTATGATCTAACAATTTCTTTTTTTCTAATCTCTTATAGTTAATATACCTAGATTCCTACCAGGAGGTATTGGTGATCCCCTACTAATAGACAAGGAAGCCTGTAAAGCGAAAGCTTCTTTTACTCGGTCCACAACCATTTGAACCATTTTAATAATCGAGGAATATCACATGAACCGTAACCTTCTTGTCCCAAAAAGTACTCAAGCTGTCCGATGCTATGAGAAGACTGTATACTGAGGACCTACCTTTCCCAAATACGTATTAGACCTCATTGAAGTTGTTTTTGTTCATTTTCCTGTCTTTTATTTATTAACTAGTATTTTCGTTACCTTTGACAGTATTGGCGTTAATGTGACTGTTCTATAGCAGGCTAGTTCTTTCTTACATCATTTTGAAGATTGGAGAGATCGTAACCTGTTTCCATTCTTCTAGACGTTGATGTTGCTCTAGCGCGTTCCTGAACAGGTCGTATACTAGTGAGCTGTTGGCTTTCGCACGCTGTTTCAGGATCATAAGGCAGACGTTCCTACATGTTAGTGACTTTCCTGAGCATATGATTCTTATTTTTCCTAGTGCCGATCAGGAAGTAAGATGGATATTCATCCGGCCTTTAGGTAGCCGGCAGGCCTCATGAGTGCAAAGACCACCTGGTTTGTAGGTTTATGTTAAGTCATAAATCTGCAGCGGCATTGGCCCCAACCACAAGATACTCAAAGCCGAACATACGATGGCTGAGAAGACCCGTACTAAATATCCCGGGTAAGAGGGTCAAATACGGTGGACGTAGGAACACTTCAGTGGTATGAAATGCCTCAATCACGCAGGTGTAGTCGCTCCACATAACCTCGTGCTGTATCACATTAAAGATGTTACTTTATCTCTATCTCAAGTGTGTTCTTCATGGTTTGACAGCTGCAACGGCTGACAGGCACGATAATACTAGTTAGTGTGGACAACATGGTGACTTTCACATAATGTCTGGTAGGTAAGGTCACATCATGGCAAGTACACATCTATGGATTATGCTTACTTCTCTAGTAGCAAGGATAAATACATTAATACTGACCCAGTCCCCAATTCTACCGACTTATAGAGATAATATATTAGACTTGTATTTTGACTACTAGCCATATATCGAAATATCTCCCTTCGCTGCTAGATTTGACGTTCCGTATATTTTCTTATGCCAGGTAGGAGCTACGGTCAGGATATTTTGGAAGATTTATCCATTTATGCAAGGCTCTCATTTTTGCCTGTAACAAGCATCATATGCCTTCCTTAACCTTGGGTCTTTCCTTTTCAGGTGTTTATTTTGATAGGGAATTATCTTTAAGCCGAAGTGACCACAGCCCCGTCAGTGGATAGCTTCAAGAGGGGACCTGACAAACACGTACTCACTCATGAATTACCATCTCCCTCCTCGAGCATATGTGTCTGGTGGACGTCT